CAAGGGCAAGCCTGGGAACAAAGGGAAGGGTAAGACCCCCCACCCGAACAATCAGGCGTCCCGGGGCGGTAACAAGCAGGCAGCCACCGACCCGAAAGGGAACCAGTTCTGTAACAACTGGATGCGCGGGCGCTGCCCGGGCAACTGCGGCCGCACCCACAAGTGCAACCTCATCCTGGCAATGGGCCGCATCTGCCTGGGGGACCACCTCCCGCAGGACTGCCCGGGTTGACTAGGGGCGCTGACCCCTACCCCCCGGGAGGCCTCAGGTGCCGAGGGCCCTGATAAGGCCCGGGGGGGCGAGAAGGGGCGCAAACGCCCCAAGCAGGCACAGAAGCCCCCTCCTGCAGGTGCCGAGGGCCCTGACACAGGGGGGGGACAGGCCAGGTGGCGGCCATCCTCGGCGGAACAAGGATGGGGACGGCAGAACCAGCGTGCACAACGCCCTCGCCGTGATCAGAACAGCCACACAACCGGCACAACGGCGGCGCCTCAGTCCCGAGCCACAGGTGCCGAGGGCCCTGATATGGCGGGGACGGGACGGTTCCCCGCAGGTGCCGAGGGCCCTGACACGGGGGGCCGCACCCAGAAGGCCCGAGTGCCGGATGACTGGCAGCACACCGCAACGCCAAGGGACACTCCCAGGAAGCAGCCGATCCCACTTCCGGCGCCCAACATCATCAAGCAGGACCCGGTGGTTTTCCACAAGAGCTCGGTGGGGCTGAATGAAGGGGGCCAACGCCTTTCAGCTACCCCCCTGACAAGTCCAACGGAGCCGTCACCGGGATTGGACATCTTCCCGTGGATGGAGAACATCCCTGAGCGTCTGGTACAGCGGCTGAGATGGACACAGGGCACATCGCCCAAAGTTCCATCCAGTGGGCCCATCATTGTCCTGCTCTATGCAGGCAAGGAAGACCCAACTTCCTTGGACAGCTGTCTTCATGCCAACTACCCACACCTTTCCAGCATGGTGGTGGCGGTAGACATCCTACGGTCTGGACCAAAAGGGGACCACGATATGCTCCAACCCGAGCTGTATGGAGCTCTTTGCACGGCAGCAAAGCAGGGCCGAGTGGTCTTCATTGGAGGAGGACCCAACTGCAGGACATGGTCCATCCTGCGCCACATACCAAAACCGGGGGCTCCCACCCCGGTGCGAGGGCGCACTCCAGAGACACTTTGGGGCCTTCCACACCTGGACCAGGCCGCCCAGACTCAACTTGATGATGACAGCATCCTCATTCTGAGACAGATGTACATCACCAGCCTGGCAAGGGCCTCACGAGCGGCGGTTTCTCTGCCAGGGCCCAGGTCCTTCCTGGAACACCCGGAGGACCCAGTGGTGAGCAGCTCGCTGCCCAAAGCCAAGGAATGCTCATCCTTCTGGATCACAGAGGAGGGGCAGCTTTGGATGGAGGAGAACTCCTTGACAGCAATCTCCTTCGACCAGTGCCGCCTGGGCCAGCTGGTCAAGAAGGCCACTACGCTGGCCACGGATCTCCCGATCCAGGACTGGGATCAAATGCGGTGCACGCATCAGTCACATGTGGGCACCAACGAGTCCTCGACTCTTAGCAGATACCCTTGGGATATGATGGCAGGCCTGGCCAAAGCCATCGCTGTGTCACTCGCAGCGCCGGGGCACATCCGGATCCCCTCACAATTTCCGGGAAACCCCAAGGAACCACCTAAGGGGCGGGGGTCGGACCCCCCGGAAGGCCATTCCCCCCGGGGAAAACGGGGGCCCAGTCAAGGAGGCGGTCCCTCCTCATCACACCAGGGCTCAAAGCCCGGAGGCAAGAACGCCCCGAAGCCCCGCCTGCACGGGCAGTTCCACCCTGAGGCAGACACCGTAAGCCCTCGTGGAACAATGAACCCAGACTTCCCATCTCCCATGCCCCCGATGGCCGGAGATGCGGAACAACTGGGGAAGGAGGGACAGGGGGACCAGGTCCTGGACCGCCCCGAATGCCTGCCCGCTTTCAGGGTCCCACACCTCACTGACCGGGTGGCGATTGTCCAATTGGGTTTCCGCTCACGCCCCCTGAGGGATGGGGGGGGAAAACCTTCCCCAGCAAGGCTCAACCCCCCTTTTCGGAGAATTTCCCCATTGGCTACTTTGGGCGCCCTGATCATGACCCTTACCCGGCCCTGGATTGACAAGGTCCGAATGTCCCTGGCATCAGGTGCCACCACACACCCCTTCCAGGAAGCCGACCTCGAGGAGCTGCGGGCTATCCTAGGACCGAGGCACCTCCATGAACGATGCCCAGGACAACCCTTCCTCCTGGACTTAGTGTCGCACTTGGCATCCCTTTCAGGTGACCCTGATTGGGAGTTCCCCCTAACACTGAAAGAGGGGGTCCCCTTGGGAGTCTCGGACCCTACCTTGACCTCCCCGGGAGTTTGGCCCACTAAGGAGGAGCTTAAGGGAGAAGCCTGGCTGGGGGAAGATCCCCCCCCGCCAGTGGCTCATGATAACTACCCAACGGCTGAACTCTTTGCCAAGGAAATCGAATCAACCTTTTACGAGGAACGAGCCTTGGACATGGTGGACGGGCCCTTCACTCGCTCCGAGGCGGCAGAGAGGTGCCGCTGCAAACCGGAGGAACTTTGCCCGGGCCCCCTTGCAGGGATTGATGAGTCGGACAAGATCAGGACGATCTATGATGGCTCAAAAGGGGGAGCAAACGCACACATCCAGGCTCACACGGAGGAGAAGACCACCGCACCGATGGTTGGAGACTGCCTCCATGCCATCCACTGGCTCAGGACAGCGGCGGACCATCCTCATCTACTCCGAGCCCCATCCTCGGGCACTGATGAGGAACCTCGGGATGTTCACCAGCCGTGCCGAGGGCCCTGAGAGGGACCCCCACAGCACCAGCCTGCCCCCAGGTGCCGAGGGCCCTGATAGGGGCAGGCGGATGATGGAGACCTCTGGCGGCCTGGACGTCTCTCCGCGGTCAACACCCTCAGGGAAGGGGCCACTCCCAGGTGCCGAGGGCCCTGATAGGAGGGCCCCATTCCCCCCAACCCCCCCAGGCACGGAACGCCCTGGGGGGAGCAGGGGGGAACCCCTGACGTGGCAGCCGCCGACACAGGGGGAAACCTTCATCATCCTCAAGGCGGATGTCACCAAGGCCCACAGGCGCATAAAAGTGCTCCAGAAAGACTGGAAATACCAGGTGGCCTGCATTGGTGGGTCAATAGAGTGGGCACGTACGGCATGGCCTCGGCACAACTGTACTGGGGAAGAAAGGCATCCCTGGTGCTCAGACTCTTGTACTACATCTTCCCTCAGGTGGACTGGCACTTAGTCTTTGTGGACGACTACTGCTGGGTCCTCAGATGCAGCAGGGCGGACTGGGACGCCACAGCCATCCTGGCCACTCTTCTGGCGCTGGGAGTCCCGCTTTCTTGGAAGAAGACGGCGCTCTCCCCGGTCAATACCTGGTTGGGATTCGTGGTGGACCCAATCACGCCCTGTGTGCTGCTGGCTCCAGTCAAGCACGTCATAATCCTGGCCACTCTCAAACGGCTGGCCCAGGGGGACATCTTTACCAGCAAGGAGGTGGAACAAGCCCTGGGCCGGATTCAATGGGCTACTTCGGCGTGTCCATTGACGAAACCTTTCCTCCAGCCCTTTTGGAGCTGGAAGAAGGCCTGCACCACTTCGGGCAGGCCACCGAAGCTGGTTCGTGCTCTGGCCATCCTTCTGGGGAAGCTCTTCAACCAGAGGTTCCCACTGGCATCTCCATTTGCTCCCACACTTCCATGGACGGGTTGGTGCTCGGACGTGCCCAACCCCGACAAGTCCCGAGTAAAGTGGTTCCAACACAGAATCACACCGGAGGGCGAGCCGTGGGCCTTCACTACTGGGGACCCGCAGCGGGCGATAGCGGCCTTGGAGCTCTTCGGCCTCCTCCTTTTGGTGAGGGCTGTTCTGCTTTGTGCAGCCGGCTCGGCTTCTCACACTAGGATTCTGGTTGCTAGTGATAACCAGGGAAACGTTTTCTCCCTGCTTAACGATTCCACTCGCAGGATGCCCAATGCGGCCATCCTCATGGAAATTGTGTTAACACTGCATGACCACCAGGTCATGTTAGGACCGTCGCATGTGAAGCGCGACTTTAACACATGGGCGGATGAACTTACTCATCCGGACCCGCAATTTCCGACTGAGAACCGGGTCTTCCCCTCAGTCGAAAGCGAATTGATCAAGCTGATCTTCGCTACTTTCCTTCCTCACCCATGATGCCGGGAGGGCATCCGGTGAGGTGGGAGGATTCCTCCCTCGCTGTGGGAGTGGCATCAATTCTACTCCCATCAGCTGCTGAGGGGAGCTGCCCAGTGGAGCTGGGCAATCCTCCCATTTTGGCACTAATCCTTATGCGGCGTAAAGGATGCACCGTTTCGCGATTAAGGTACCAGTAGCACCAATGTGGTGCTTTGAAGAGTCTCTTTTAAGTCGTTAGGTGTCCCAAAGGCTTTTTGCGGCCCATTCCCCGTGTCTGAAAACTCGATTGCTCTTGGGGAGCGGATCTTTAGACTTTAACTTTGGGGGAAGGACATGTCGGTTTTCCGTAGTAGGCCCCACGTTGAACACTTTTCCCCCTGGTATGAGCCCCTAGTTTGTGGGTTAGTTCATCGTTAGTTATGGCTTAATTATGGGTATGAGATCAGGCCCCCAAAACGGGCATCCAAAATGGCCATGGTTTCATATATCTGCAACATTTACACTAGTTCCAAATCGTAAATTAAGAGATCCCCGAGCAAAGGACCTGCATCATGGTGAGCTGGCAATATTCCTAGGTGAGATCGCTATGAAAAAGACTCGCGTTTTCACCGCAGAAGAAAAACAACATATTGGCTTGCATTGTTTAGGGTTTATCTACTAAGGCATAGTATCACCGATGGCTCGTGAAATGGTGATAGGCAGAAACTGGACCTACGCAATCAGCCTTTTTCTTGCCTGCAACCAAGAGGGGCCGCAGGACTATGGCTGCGAGCCTGATTGCCCGCTGCCAAGCGGACATTCTCAGGCAGGGCTTCGGCCGTTCCGACCGAGAAGCGATGTTATTGTTGCGCCCCGCTACATGGCAAATGGATGTGTGTCTTTGTTTAAGGCACCTTGTTTTTTGGTGCATCTTGCTTGGCTGTTAGGACTTTAACTTTTTGCCAACTAATGGGTTTTCCGTACTAAACCACTAAAAGTTAAACTTTTAGCAGGGGAGCAGATTTTGCAACCGAGTTGTTTGGTGGTGTTAAAGGGGGGGTCGGGTCCCCTGAAAAAAGAGACACCCAAATGGAGGTCAAAGCACAGGGTCGGAGTTAAAAAGCAGGGTCCCCGGTCTTTGCTAGGAATTGGGTAAAGTTAGGATTACATTCTACTGGCGGCTAGCATTGTGCAGCAAGCAATCAAAGGCATTTCTTTGACAAAGCCGAATTCAAAACATGTGAAAGTGGATGATTAATATCTGGAATATCCTTCTGAACAGGAATCGGGGGAGGCTCCAGGTCCGACCCGAATGAGCCTTGGCTAATGTTCAAGCGCAAGATGTTTATAGAATGATACTGATTTAGCTGTGAACTGCACCTCGGTTTGGGTCGCTCAAAATTCAATCATTAGAAAACTGCAGGGTTTTGTCCATGTTTCCAATTGGCTGTGGGTCAAGAATAGGTACCCAACATGGAAACCCTGGAAACATGGACCAAAATCTGCGGTCCCCTGTTGGTTTCATTTTGACCCACACCCATTCAACCATTTAACGGGTACCTATGTTGGACCCACTGCCACGTGCTCGCATGTACTGCCTGGCTAAGCCAAGACTCAGCGTGGTGGTCGCTCACTTCCAAGCCCAGACACCTTGTTTGAGGGGGGGTTCCCTTGTTTCCTTTGGTTTGAGGGGGTTTCCCTTCATTTGAAGAACGTGCAAATGACTTGTTCCCGCAACAACCCAAGCTTTGGAACGTGACGGCGAGCAAGTGTAATATTGTTGCAGTGGATTTTCAAAGAACAGAGACAAGTGTTCAAACATTTGTCGTGGAGCAAGCCTGTAAAAAAGCGAGACTGGACAATTCAAAACCTAGAAGTTTCCCTTCCAGGTGTTGGGAATGAACCTGCAGGGGATTCCCTTACAGGAAACCATAGGGAATGGAAGGTTTTCTCGGGGTCATTCCATTTCTCACACTCTCGGGTATGGTTTTTTTCAGCTCTCATCGACCCTCATCGCATTCCCTCTCAAACCAGCCGAAAGGCGGGAGTGTCGGAGCTGGACCCTCCATAGGGGTTTTCTTTCGTCGTTCCATGTCCCACTCCCTAAACCAAGGGATTCCCTTAAAGGAAACCAAAGAAACCAAGGGATTCCCTTAAAGGAAACCAAAGGGAATGGAAGGTTTTCCCGGGGGCGGAGCGGGGCTGGACCTCTTGTGACGCAAGAAACGCCAGGCTGGAGACCAACGCCTTGCACGACATCTCGGTGTCTCAAAAGTTGGCCCCTCGTCCGGAAACCAGTCGACCTTCTGCTGGCCTCATGAGTTTATCATGATCAAGGTCACTTTCCAATCTTCTACCCAAAGGTCGTGGGTGTCGTGGCCTGGAGATTCTGGAGATTCGCAACCCGAAAGCTTCCTTAAGAAAGCTGGCCTCATTCTTTTACCATCAAAGTCACCCCCGTTCAGTGGTGGGTTAAAGGGGAACAACTGAATCCATTTTCTGACTTCGATAACCCCCAGAAACAGTCAACAGAATGACCCCAGTTCGGCCATACCCAGTTGCCGACTGGACTCCGCCCCCCTTTTTTCCCATTTGTTTTTGGGATGGGCTCCGATTCCCTTAAACTCAACCAACCAGACAAGGTTGCCAATTTTTCCCCATGGACATCCACTGGGCATCTGAGCATATGGATCCAAACCAAAAGGAAGGTTAGCCAAACAAGTTTAGCTTTTAGTGGCCCCAGACGGTGATCACCTGGTAAGTTTGTCCGGGCCCCAAGGGGCTGAGGTGTTGTTTTCCCAGCCCCTCCGGTTCATACGCGTCTGTTTTCCTGCTGCTTGGGTTTTCCTGCGAGGCGTCCGAGGAGTGGGGGCTTGCAATATGACATGTGCACCGCCAAAGCCACCCTTTCTCTGCCATAGAAGTTGACTTTGCGACAGATGCCATTTTGCTCAGGGGTTCTGGTCATGGATTTTTCAGACACGGAGCATCCCATGCATGTTACAGTTGAGCAATTTTAGAGTGTTGGGGGGAAGCCTCGTTTATGTGTTTGATTTATGGGGACCTCCATTGAAGGGAAGCTATGAGGGCTTCCAATAACACAACATGCTGCCGTAGCGATGGGTGGGGTGGGGTGGGGGGGCTTGTGGCATATTGCTTACGCTGAAATCTTCAATGATACCAATTGCAACCATCTCCCAAATTCAAGGCCTTATATGGCCTGAAATCTGAAATGATACCAATTGCAACCCCCCCAGACAAGGCCCACAACCATCTCCCAAAGGCAAAGACCTTCTATTTGTGTGAATGATAACGACCTCACAGGACCTCACCCCCAAAGGTGGTCGTGGGGAATATCCAGCTCTAAAACCCCCCCCCGTTACATCCCAAGCAAGAGTTGTGTCATTCATAACAAGGCGCCGCGTAAGCAAAACCCTGCACGGCGTAAGCCGGCGTAAGCACTTTTTGGGGAAACAAGCTGCATAAGCACCTGCGCAAGCTCTTCTTCGTGATTGCTTGGTAAGCTTTGTAAGCATGCTCGGAAGAGCTGTGCTTATGAGATTATTGGTGGCTTGTGCTGTTGCAACCTAGTCGAGCTTGGCAACTTGCCCGGAGGCTTTGGCTGCAGGAAGTCGTCTAAGACTGCTTGTGCACATCAATAAGAAAACAAAACCAGCAGAATCTTGAGTGGGAGCTCTTGGGGCTCATGCTAGGTGCTGTTGCAACCTTGACTGGGACAAACAAAGGCTTCTGAAACCGCTGATCTAGGAAAACTAAAGGGGCTCGGACGCGTAAGCGCGCGTAAGCAGGCACGTAAGGTTCGCGTAAGCTCGCCTAGCTGGGCTGCCCGCTAGCCCTCCCGATGGCGTTTCTTGACTTGCAGCAAGAACAACAATGCCAAGCCGCTGAGACTCGTGAGGGTAGTTCTTCGTCATCTTCCTCAGAGTCTTGAACAGCTTTGGCCAGCCCCAAACTCCCTAAAGGTCGTGCACTCAGTGCTCAGAGATCCGGAGAGTCTCCCCCTAATCAGGCTGTCCAACTCCCTTCACGGGGCTTTTGGGCTCCCAGCCGCGGCCGGGAGATCGCATGAGGCTTCCCTGCTGCGGTTGCGCGCTCAGGCGCAGTCGTCCGAGTCAGCGACAAAAATGTTCAGCGCCCAAAGGCCGTGTTCTCCAGGTTTGAGGCAGGTTCTATGTACCTGGCTTCATAGAAGTTTTATAAGGCCTACATGAGCTTTTGGGAACATGTTAGAACCCAACCTGGTTTCATAGGGGTTTTATAAGGCTATAGGACTGAGCCTTTGGGACCATGCTAGAACCCAAAGGAGTTTTGGGCACGAATTTTGAGCCAGAGGTGGCCCTTCCGTCTTTGCCAAAGCTGCCAACAAGGTTTGGCTTCATATTTCCTCGGCCCAACTTATGAAGGCTTCCCTACCAAGATGGAAGTCCTCAGGCCACTTTTTCCTGAAGGAAAAACATGTCTTAGAGGCTCTTAGAGGGGTCGGTTTTTTTTTTATAGTTTGGTTGGCTTCCAGTAGTAGCTTCAGAACGTGTGTTATTTCCTCTGTTGGTTTTAAAGTGAATCTATCATGACTGCATGTTTGTTCGTCTTGGTAGGGGACTGAAAGAATTGGAGGTTGTCTGCTAGTGAGAGTCAGTACCTGAGTATGTTGTCTCATTGCCCTGCTGGAACCGTGGCAAAGGCATCATTCAATGTATCATGCCTCCAAACAAGAAGAATCATCATATGTGTGGCAATCCATGCTTGGTTTGTCGTATTTTGCTGATTCTACATTGGAGGGTGTCATCTGAGTCGTTTGAAGAAGCTTCCTGCAAAAACCTTGTTAGTACCCGTTTTTGAGCTGGATTCGACTTGCAAGGAAAGCACTGTAGAAGCGAGTTGTCATCGAATTTCAACCAAAAGCGGAGATGCAATATAATCGCAATCAACCACCAGGCACTCTAAAAGCCCAGAAAGAACACCTCCCCGTTACAGGTTATGGCCTTATTTGGCCTTTCGTGTTGCTTATAGGTGCCTGGAACTGGTGAAATTGTTTTCATCATAGGAGCTGGAGGGAGGAGCTGGAGGGAGCCAAAATAAGCCCTTTTTGGGCCCTTGAGGCCTTGAAAGCTTGATTGACCCCCTCCACCGCCTCTCCCTTCAATTCCGGGCCCCATGTTTTCAGCCTTGTTTCTTCAAGACGAAACAACAACTGTACCGGTCAAGTCATCTCTCCGCGAGTCCCTGTGTCAAAGAGGAACAACGCATTGAATGTGCTTCCCTAATCCCAGTTCCATTTGCCTGGGTTAAGGGAACCAAGGGAACCTTTACCCAAAAGGACACATGTTGGCTACCTAGTATACTTCCTTGTTCTGAAATGAAGATGTTTTATTTTCCCCTGTTGGTTTTGAAGGGAATCTGTCACTACTGGACATATTTTCTCATGTTTTCCAGGGCACTTCAGCAACTGGAGGGTATTTGGGATCTGGGATTCATATGATGAATAAACCCAGTGATTTGCATCAGATCCTGCAGATTCCAAAAGTCCTCGATTTCGCTCCGCGAATGGGACGTCCTAAACTCACGAGCGCGAGCGCTTGCTCGCCCGCCGAAAGAAGTTTGAATCCCAAGGAGACGTCTCGGAATGTGGTCTGACAATAGAACATGGCCATTGAGTTAGACATGGCTGGACAAATGACCTACAGACCGAAAATTTGACATGTCCAAATGGCCAACATGGGAGACAGACCGAACCAGAACTCACTCAGGGCGCAGGATCCTCCCCGAGGCCTTCGAATTTTTCATGAGATCCCCGGATGTTTTTTTTTCTTTTTTTTTTAACATATGCCCAGTGATAGATCCCTTTTACAACCAGGCAAAGATATATGAAAACGAAGATCAGCAAAAGCTAAAACCAACAGTCGAACACAAAGCAGATGGAAGTTATGGTTTTAGTCTTCAGGGCAACTTTCGAAGGCATGATGGCTGTGCTAAGCGCAATGTTTCTGAAAGCGAGCCCAAACTCCCACCCGCCCTTCCAAACTGCCTGAACCTCCCCGCCCCCAAACCCCCCCTCCCCCGTACCAGCACCACCCCCTCCCCCCAAACCACCCGCAAGCCAAAAGAACATCCTTGAGAACCACTCCTGGCCCCATGCGCTCTCGAGAGGAGCCATCGCCACAATCCGAGGCCACGACTTCCCGCCGTGGTTTGGTCGGCACGTAAACCCTGAGGATCTTCGGGGGAGAGTCCCTAAACCCTAGGGTTCAAGTTGCCCATTAAAACTTGGTGGCTCCCAGCCATCCGGATCCTTAGCTTTTTAGCCTTTTAGTGTTTAGTGTGGTAGTTTCCATTTAACCCGCTGAAAGTTAAACTGTTAGCGTTGGATCTGAGGGCAGCCCGGAAAAGAATGGCCTTGGGACCCCATTTGGATGATGAGAATGGCAAGAACGGGAAACAATGGTTGTGAAATATGAACCCCCCATTGTTTTGACGGTGGCAACTGAAACGCAGGGTACATGACTGCAAGCAAATGGCCCACCTGGCCGAGGAGTCTAGTGAAACGAGCCCCAAACAAGTCGTCTTGCTTTCCTAGTGGCTTCCCTTTACCACCAGGAAAAGGGTACCGAGCCTCTAAAAGTACAAGCTCTAAAAAGGGCCGCGCCACATTTCTTTTGGGTCGGAAACTGCAGGGACTTCCTGATGAAAAATATGACCCCCCCCCTTTCCCCCGCTCACCCTGGCCTGTGGTAGCCGCTTCCGTGGACCTTTTGCTTGGGCCAGGCGACCGACCCAGACCAACCGCTTATGCTCACGTTGTTTGTTTGTCTGTCTGTCTGTTTGTTTGTTTGTTTGTTTGTTTGTTTGTTTTTTCTTGTTTGTGTTTTTCTTCGGTGCTTTGGAACCCATTGGCAACCCTGCTTGACCCCCCAAGGTTTAAGATCCCCCATTTTTGCGAGCCTATGAGGTCGCATCATGGATAACGTTGCCTTGTGGCTTCCCTTTCATGCCCAAAAAAAGGGACCTCCGGAAGGCGTCTCCACCGGCCCTCCCGGATACGGCTCAGATGATTGCCGGGAGCCTGAGGCTCCCGATTGAGTCTTGGGAGCCCTAAACCTTCTTTCTGTTGGTGTCCCTCGTGTCCTACCCTGGATGGCTGGCTGGGCTGGGTTGGTTGGCTGCTGGGCTAGAGGGTGTGTTTGGCTTGATTTGGTTGGGTTGGTGGGACCAAAGTTTGGTTGTTTGGATGTAAACGTCATGCCGAAAATGGAAATTAGGGGGAACTTCCAAGAATTCCTCCAAAGATCCTTCTTCCTTCCAGACAAAGCGCTACAGCAATGAGGAAGCGACTCATTTCGTGAAGAGCGGCGGTTGAATCAGGAATCAACGGGTGCGGGATCGAGTGTGGCTTTGATTCGTAGCAGAGTGTGTTGAAAGCAGCAGAAGGGAAATACTCTCCTGTCCACACCAACAGGGAACTTGGAGAGTCCCCTTTAAAGGAAGAAACCCTTCCACCCGACAGGTTCCATGGCAACAGGAGTGTCCCCGTTTGAAAGCAGCAGAACCATCTCTAGGGAAGCCCACGTGTCTTCTGTGCCTTCGACTCATCAAGCCCCCATGTGATAGAAAGGCACCCCATGCCCAACACAAGGGATCTTGGCTGGCGCCACTTCCAGTGGGGTGTAGCGTTTGGTGCTTTTGGTTCGACAGATCTTTGGAAAGAAACCCAGGGTGTATGGCGCCGCCTTGCATCAGCGTGGCCGCTAGCAATTTCTTGACTCAGTTCTTTCCTGGCCAATGCAGGGCCAACTGGATTGGGGTTTCCGAATGCCTTGTGTTCAATTTGGATCGTGCCAGCAAGGTGTCATCTTGAAACGCCACTCACGGACAGCGGAAGGATTTCAGCCTTCAACCTCCCCCCCGAATGATAGCGCCACGGGCCCTTCTTACCCTAGGGGCTTGAAGCAAACTTTTGTTGGGATCATATTTAGACCAAGAGTGAAGTTCTGAAGTTTTTGGCAATCAACAGTCACCCTACCCATTCGGTCGGGCTTTACTTTTTGCCGGAATCAACTCCGGCTCTTGAATGCTTCTGGCGCTTAGCTGCGCATTTATCAGCATGGCCACGAGATTTCCAAAGCCAAAAAATAATCGTCGCAAAGAAGGCTACCCTCTCTCCCACTAACATGCCTTTGCCAGGGAACACCAGGTTAAAACTACGTGCCCCTCCCTGTTTTGTGCGGACAAAGCGGGGCAGCCTCCAAAAAAGACACACTCC